AGTATCACTACAGAAGTAGATTGCCCCATCTTCCTTCTGAGGAGTGGCTGGTGGGTTTGAACCGCCAGCCTTCTGGTTAGCAGTAAGTGCCTTAGCCACTATGCTACCAGAGCTCCTGATAATGCAGTATAGTATATGTAAAAGTATTTACCTTTATTATCTGTACCTCTCGTGCACCTAACCGTGTCTTCCTTTTCCTTAGAGTTATTGTTCTGGTCACTCGCTCTTGGTATATTGCCTTTTCCTTCACCCAAATCAATAGTTGTCTCTTACTTATCTAGCAATTTTCCCTCCCCTCTGCTCTTATCTTTGGTAACCATCAAAGAAATTTTCCTTCCATATATAAACCTTTCCTTGACTTTTTATAATAGTAGACTCGTACAGCATTTGTCCTTCTGTGATTGACTCATTTCACTTAGCATAATGTCTTCCAAGTTCATCCACATTATGAGGTCTTTTGTGGATTCTTTGTTATTATTTAGCTGCAAAGTATTTCATCATGTGTATGTACCATAGTTTGGTCATCCATTCCTTCACTGATAGGTGCTTAGGTTGTTTCTATCTCTTTGCTGTTGTGAATAGTGCTGCAATGAACGTGAGTATGCATATATTTATTTGTGTTATGGATGTCACTGCTTTAGGGTATGTTCCTAGTAGAGGGAATGCTGGATCAAATGGTATTTCTATTTCTGACTTTTTAAGGAAGTACCACCATACCTTTTCCCATGGTGGTTACATAATTCTACAGTCCTACTAGCAGTATATGAGAGTCCCAATCACTTCACATCCTAGCCAGTATTTGTTATTCTCTGTCTTGTTGAACTTTGCTATTATTTCTGGATATGATCTCTCATCATTGTTTTGATTTGCATCTCTCTAATGGCTAATGATTGCAAACATTTCTTAATGTGTTTGTTGGCCACCTGAATATTTTCTTTGATGAAGTTTATGTTCATGTCTTCTACCATTTTTGAATTGGATTGTTTGTCTTTTTGATGTTGAGGTGTTGGAGTTTTCGTTCAACTTCAGGGATAAGTGCCTGTCAGCTATGTCATTGCTGAATATTCTTTCTGAATCTGTACATTCTCTTTTTACTCCTTTGTAAAAGTCTTTTGTTGTGCATAAAAATTTAATTTTTAGATGGTCCCAGTAATCTAGTTTATCTTCTGATGTTTTTGCATTTTTGGTTATGCTTGAAAGTCTATTTATGCCATAAATTAGGGCCCATAAGTTTGCCCCTATTTTATCTTTGATGAACTTTATGGTTTTAGGTTTTACATTTAAGTCTTTGATCTATACTGAGTTAGTTTAGTGTATATTGTGAGGTATTGTGTCATTTTTGTGCAAATAGATATCCAGTTTTGCTGGCACCATTTAAAGACTTTTAAAGAGACAGTTAAAAGGAATTATTTCTTCCCCATTTAATAGGTTTTGGCCCTTTGTCAAAGATCACCTGTCCATAGGTGGATGGATCTGTTTTTGGGTTCTCAATTCTGTTCCACTGATCTTTGTGTCTGTCATTGTACCAATACTGGGCTGTTTTGATGATATGGCTGTGTACTAGGTTTTGAGATCAGGGAGCATGAAACATCCAACTTCGTTCTTGTTCTTCTGTAGTGCTTTATTTTTCTGACAGTTGTTTCCTTTCCATGTAAAATTAGTGATTGGTTTTTCTATATCTTTAAAGAATGCTGAAGAAATCTGGGTCAGAATTGCATTGAATATATAGATTGCTTTGAGTAGTACTGACATTTTCACAATGTTCAGTCTTCTTATCTATGAGCATGGATGTTCTTCCATTTATGTAAATCTCTTTTAGAAAGTTTCTTGTAGTAGTGTTTTTTTAGTTTTCTTTGTGTTTATCTTTTATGTCCCCTGTAAGATTTATTCCTAAGTATTTTATTTTTTTGGTAGCTATTCTAAATGATGTTGTTTTCTTTATTTCCATTGTGGAGATCTCTTTTTTGACATTGAGGAATCCAACTGATTTTGGTATGTTGATCTTGTGTCCTGCCACTATGCTGAATCTTCTGATTAGTTCTGGTAGTTTTCTTGCTGAATCTCTGGTATTTTCTATGTATAGAGTCATATCATCTGCAAATAGGAATAGCTTTACTTCTTCTGTACAAATTTGGATGACTTTTATTTCTCTTTCTTGCCTTATTGCCTTGAACTTCCAATACATTGTTGAATGGAAGTGGTGATAGATAACAGAAACCTTGTCTGGTTCCTGTTTGCAAAGGGAATACTTTCAGTCTCTCTCGAGAATAATGTTGGCTTTTGGTTTTGCATATATGCCCTTTATTATGTTGAATAATTTCCCTTCTATTCCTACTTTTCTGAGAGTTTTTTTTTTTTTTTTAAATCAGGATTGGGTGTTGGATTTTATCAAATGGTCCTTTTGCATTGATTGATTTGCTCATGTGGTTCTTTTCCTTTATTTTACTTATGTGATGGATTACGTTCATTACTTTTCTAATGTTG